TGGAACGTTTTCAAATTCCTACTAATTTCAAAAAACATGTTTGATGCTGCCGCAACGTAGTGGGTTTCAAGCTTTTAACACACCGTGCAAAGTTGGGAAAAGTTGTGAAAGTGATTGAAAAGTTGTGCAAAGAGATTGCAAACTTGTGCAAAGTGATTGCAAAGATGAAAGATGTATTTGTATGTTTAACCTAATCTAAGTTATTGTCTGCAGTTAAATTTATAAAACGTTAAGTAAATGTCTAGAACATGCCTCATATATAAGCAGATTAACCGAACAGCGAAGAGCAAAATCGAAGACAAACTACTTACAAAGTGTGTAGACTGGCCACATAACTTTTCTATGCAGTTTGTTGATATTCTAAGTACTATTATCGACTTGATACGAAACTTTGTATATTTGCCACGTACCTTTGTCATCTTTGCACGATAATTCTTACACATTCCGCGCAAATTTACAAACTTTGAATGCAACTTTCTTCACTTCCAGTGCGCGTAACATTACCAACTTTGCAGTTAACAGTGTGGACTTGCTTCTAACTTTATTTGCTTTGCAGACATTCTACATGTGTCGAACATTACACGCAACTTTGCAAGCTTTCTCTGTAACTTTATCAGCTTTGCAGACTTCCTACGAAACGTTACCGTCCTTGCATGTAATTTAGCAGGCTTTTTCGTTACATTAGCAATTATGTGGCATTTCCCTGCAAATCACCTTATTTATTTATTTATTTATTTGTCTGTCTGTCTGTCTGTCTGTCTGTCTGTCTGTCTGTCTGTCTGTCTGTCTGTCTGTCTGTCTGTCTGTCTGTCCGTCTGTCCGTCTGTCCGTCTGTCCGTCTGTCCGTCTGTCCGTCTGTCCGTCTGTCCGTCCGTCCGTCCGTCCGTCCGTTCGTTCGTTTGTTCGTTCGTTCGTTCGTTCGTTCGTTCGTTCGTTCGTTCGTTCCTTTGTTTGTTTGTTTGTTTGTTTGTTTGATAGATGCCTACAGGTTTCTTCCACTACGCCGCCGAAAATTTCAACGTATATCACAAGATACAATCAAATGTGCAATAAATACAATAACGTGATATTTATAAAATGTCAAAGCCTTAAAGCTGAGTGTTTAAATCACACTACTTAAAAATAAATCTGTTACGAATATCTATATTATCAAAGTTTTTAATATTGTTTAAATAGCCGAGGCACCTAGAGATGAAAAAATTATTCACGTAAGACGAAACGTGCGTGACGGTTAATGGAATTGTTATTCAGATATTCGTGGATAAAACGACGTCAAGAACCTTTCTCTGAGACTCAAGTGTTTTAAATTGCATAAAACAGCGTAGTCAGAAGATGTATATGAAATGGAAAATGTTCTTTGAACCAGTTCTATCTTCTTGTTCAATGCGGTGATCGGGTTTAATAACAATATTCTAGTTGGCTTCTGGTGAGCTACTTAAATAAAAGTAATTGGACAGGCATAACTGTTGGCTTCATCAATTTCGTTTGATCAAGCCAAGCTTTAGGAACGCATTTGACACAGTTACATTAATATGGGCGGTAAAATTTAATTTTGCTGTGAGAATGATTCCAAGGTTTTTTACTAGGGAAACGCGTTTAATTATATCGCCGTCAAATTTGTTCTTAACGAAGCTTATAATATTACATTTCTTTTGATTTAACTTTATAATCAACGCCTTGTGCCACTCATGTAATCGTTACGGGGGTTGGAACAGTTAAACAAATTTATGATACTTCTGAATACTTTTGCATTATCGGCATTTATAGAACACTGTGACGAGCTCTTGTTTTCTGGCATATGATTGATGAGCATAATAACAAGTAACGACGAAGAATAGAGCCGTAGGATTACATCGGAATACGTGTTGCCTCAGAGAAAAACTTGTTGACTACGATTGCTCAAATACGAGAACAAATTATAAACATTTCCATGGATTTCGCAGTGTTGCAGACTGTGTACCAGTAATGAATGATTTACGCTATCAATTGGCTTGGAGAAGTCAAGATATATTGAATCCACTTGTCTATCAGTTGTAATATAATAACAAGACCGAGTTTTTTGCCCGTTTAAAAGTAAAGGAAATAATGGAATGGTATGCATAAATTATTAGCCCATTTCTCGAGAATGAAACCAGATATGCCGCCAGGACCACATGTCGACCTAGCGTTTATACAAGCTTACTAGCTTGATCGGTCGTTGTTATTGTGTGATTGTGTAAATGAACGACATTTCGGAAATTGTTTGACATAATGTTTTATGAAAGTGTTTTTTTTTTGTTTTTTTTAAAAGGACATTTAAATATATCTGCGATGTCGGAGGCTAAATCAGTAGTCAAATTGCCATAAGATATATTGTTTTAATAAAAATAGATTATTGTTCTGGTGTATGGTTTGTTGAATTTCAACTATATTTTCTTTATAGGCTGATTTCTGCGGGGATTTAAATTCAGCACGAAGAACTCATTATAGTCAAAAGGATTGCCTATTTGACGACAATTACACATTGCTGCTTCCTTTGAGACGAGTAATGTATTAACGGATTTAACGGACAAGATGGTGATATTCCATGTGTTGTCATGGTAATACATGTTCAGAATATTTGTTTTATAACGTATACTGTTAACAAACTCTCGTGACCTAAATAAAACAATAGTGCTGAAAGATACACTTTGCATATCATTAACGTCATGGTAACTGCTGCCCAGGGATATCGACGAATTTTTAGTGAATGAACAGTTTACATTTCACTTACTTTGCACGCAAGTTGAGGGCTTTCCATGCAATTTTACGAGCTTCGCACGCTATTTTGCAGACGTACTAAATAATATTACCAATTTTTCACATATCTTGACATGCTTTGCACATTATTTGCATGCTTTTGCAGGATTTCAACGTAAATTTACCTGTTTTTCACGCAACTTTGCAAGCTTTCAATGTAAATTACTAATTTTGCAAGCAACTTTGCAGATTGCTGCGTGACGAAACTTTGCAGGCTTTTCATATTACAGATTCCACGTTATTTAAATTTGCAAGCTTTCACGAACATTCAACAGGTTTGCACGCAACCTTCCAAGAAACTTTCCAGACTTCCTCGTAACTTAACCAGTTTATTGCACAACGTTACCAACTATGCATCCAACTTTGCCAGGTATCTCGTAAAGTTACCACATTTTCACGTAAATTTACCAACTTTTCACACAACTTTATAGACTCGCATAATTTAGCATCTTCCCACGCGATATTGTGCACTTCCGCGAAACTTGCGAATTTTGCGCGCAACTTTCCAGGATTTCATGTAAATTTTCCAGTTTTGTACCGTAAGGCAACTTTTCAGGCTTTCCGCTTAGCGTTAGCAACTTTGCCCGCTACATCGCTGGTTTTCAAAATTACTTAACAAATTGTGCATTTCAGACTTTCCACGTAAATATATCAGTTTTGTGTACAATTCTTTAGGCTTCACACGTAAATATGCATGCAGCTTTGTTTCTGCTTGGAATTTATTTTGGCTGTATTTCACTTTCAACTTATCAAGAATCAGTGAAAATACAAAACTTACAAAAGCCTTTTTAAATAAAATAAAGATTTTACAGTACTTTAAATGTAGACTTGTCAAGTAAGTTTGCAGATTTGGTACGCAAGCAAATTTTACACTTGCCACTAAATTTTACCATCTTTGGCTAGCAATTTTGAAGACATAATACTTAATGTTATCAAATTTCACTCGGTGCGCATGTAACTTTCTATCAATAGACTATCAACTGAATGTGAATAACTTTACACGCAATTGTACAATTTCTTCTTGTAAGTTAAAAATTGTAACAAGTTTGCACGCAACTTTGTAGGTTTTCCATATTATTTTGCCAGATTTGCCCAACCTTTCGGGCTTTTCACGTAAATTACCAACTTTGAACGTAATTTTGCAAGCTTTTCGTGCAACTTTACAGACTTGCTAACACAGTGCAGGCATTCCATATTACCTTATCGGTTTCCATGCAACTATGCAGGTTTTTCGCGTAACATATTAGCTTCCCACTTTACTTTATCAACTTTGCAGACTGTTATGTAACGTTGCCAATGCACGCACGCAACTTTGTTGATTTTTCTTTTTTTCTGCTTAAAATATTATACACTAACTAAATGATCATTAGAAGGCAACTGTCAACACTCTGGAAATGGCACTACATCAAACAAGGATAGCTTTGTATTTTTTAAAAATTGTCATTGCGTTCTTTAAACTATCACGTTTCAACCTATCATTGGTACGACAAATTAAACTTTAGTAATCGCTGTATATTTTGGGAGACATTAGAAATATACAGACATTGTCTTCCATCAACAGAAACAAGGGAAAATTGATTAGAGACAAGTATGTTTTTTCCCACGTATTTATGATTCAGGTGAAAAGGAGCCCTAAAGTTTTTTTTAGCAAGGTGTAAAATATCTTGGTAAGGTGTATTTCAAAGATACGCATGAACTTCCATCAAGGTGCCTCAAACCATCGAATCTTTGTTTATATATTGAATGCGTTACATGTTTTGGAGTAGCGCCCCCTATGGCAGATTTTAAACAAGAATTGTATTTGTAATAACTCAACAACGGCTACATGATTGTGGTAAAATTATAGAATCGTCTAGCCACCTCACACTAATTTCAAGAAATAAAAAATAGAATAAGCAAACTGAATGCGAGTAGTAGTGAGTAGCTTGATTAAGAAGGAGATCCAGAGCACATCTCTAAAGCTCTGAGCTTTAATTTGAAGGGTTATGCTGGTTCCCGAGATATGAGACTCGTACAAACTGAGATGTTACTAAGCTTTATATATATAAACTAGATAATTTCTTTGAAGATTGGAGGCTATTGAAGGATTCACTGGCAATAATTAGTGCATGTTGCACCCAGGTCAAAACTCGTACAAGTGTTTTTCATTTCAAGACAATTTTCACAAACGTGTGGTATGACAACCAACGTCTTTTAAGAATAGACTACAACATGAACAAAAATGGCAAGTCTTGTCAAATGTTTTATTAATCATGTCAAGTACAGGTGAGGAAGCTTGAACACTAAGTTCCATCTCTGCTAATAGACGAATACTGCATAAATTCAATGATCATCATGATGATTAACAACAAAAATGCTATTTTGTTTATTCAAGAAACAAACATGCATCTGGTAGCAAATTTCTGTCCTTGAACTGATATAATCATTTACTGCCTATTTGGAGTATACAGGCAGGACAATACAAGGTTTTTTAAAAAAAAAAGTATAAATTATTAATATCTAGGTATGCCTGAATATACAGTAGCTGAAAAATAAACTATTCTTTTAAAAACAACCATATTCCCATGATGCATTTCCACATTTTGTCAGTCATGTCAGACATGGACAGATTTCAAGACAATGAAGAAATGCTTTATGGGGATTAGTTGAAGTTAAATGTGCAATCAAGTGAATTTTGGGTAATTTAGGTTTTCCAACAAACTAGGGAAGCTATAAATCAAAAGCATAGCTTGTACATATGCAATCCAAAAACTGAAATTAAAAAATATTTACTTTAAACGTATATCAAAAATTTAGAGCAACTTAAAATTCTATCAAATCCAGTTTATAATGAAGCTGTCTTGTATAGCTGAACATAAAAAGCAGACTATTAAGCAGACATCTGCCAGTCAGGCACAGTGAGCAGTTTTAAATATTTATCTTTTTTTTCTTACATTTTGCAGTTTGTAAAACCAAAATAATTAACTTCACACAAAAGCACCAAAATAAAATACTCTCATGCAAAACTTCCAAGCAAACCACCAGATGAACTGGCATCAAGTAAATTAGCCAATCACACTCCTGCATTCAAATTGCATCGTATATTTCAATTGATGGGTTATTTCTATCAACTAGTTACTAAATAATAAGCTCTACTAAATGGAGCTTTTCAACTACAAACTAACAATTCTATTTAATTAAATAACATGAAATTTAAGCCTAAAAATTAGTATACACATTGGATTGGAGATTAAAAGTTCGGCTTCTAAAGTTGCCATGACAGTAGAAAGATTGTTTGCAGAAAAGAAAATCCACAAAAGCTGGTTTTTTTTGTGTTTTTTTTTTTGTAAATTGTATAAAATATGGTTGATAATGCTGAATTCTTTCTGAATTAAAATGGTTGGCTCAGTCTATTATTATTATAGACTTTACCATTTTTAATGGGTAGGAAGGGTTTAATTAGGGGCAACGATGTGCTTAAATTTTCACATTTGATGTTATTATATTTATTAGATTTAAACAGCATCATTACAGATGAAATATTATTTAAAGGAAAGAATTAGTTATAAAGCTTTCCCCCTCCCAGCCTCACTTCTTTCACTTTAAAATACAAAACATTCCAAAACACTCATTTCAATGGCATCATTTCTAGAAAAAAAAAAAAAAATATCAAGTATTTAAGTACAAACACCGATCTTTACTCAGCAAGAAAATGAAAGTAAACTCACTTCACTTGACGCAATGGTGGGTTTTAGTTTACACAGAAAAATAAGTAGATAAATGCCATTGATCTCTTTGCTTTCTTTCTTGCATATATGCCAGCCACCCCTATTTCACAATCCTACAGTCCACTTTTCAATGCTCTGCTTTAGTACACTCAGTTGCACAGGGGGAGTGGTCAGGTAGGGAATGTAGCTTTAGACTATCAAATCCACACTTCTGTTTTGATCACACATTTGGCTAATTCTATTGGTTTTGTTCAAATATCTAATAACAAGTTATGGTGGGAAGATTTTAAAGAAGAAATTCCAGTCGCAGCCTCAAAATGTGTCTGAGCAAAGTGTGTGGGATTGAGTGACATCGTTATCAAATCATTCTGGAAAGTTTGTTCTTTACATAAACTGGAGCAAACCAGTTATCATAAAAAGAATACAATTTTCATTATAAATTCTCACAAAAATACATTTTTTTTTTGTCTTTTAAACACCACAGCAAGTTAGATAATTTTGTCAAGACAACAACAGATTAGTTTGTGGGCGGGGATGTGATAGGGAGTTTGTACGGAAGCAATGATCCACATCAATATGGTGGACATTCTGGACTTGTTCTGCCTGAGACTAACTATACTGACTGTGTGTTAACTTTGACTAACTGCTACTGGCAAAGATTTGAAAACCTCTATGTTCATTTTTAAAGATCTGACTCTCCATAGAGAGACGCTGAGAAGGACAAATAATCCAACGCTCCTGGTACAGCATCATGGCCACGGTATGGTGCCATTCTAGCAATACAGTATTCAGCCTGGTCTGGTGGCAATTCACGACGCAATTCTTCAGCTGTTATGCAGGGCTGTTGAAAAAAAATCAAATTTGTGTTATTAGCAAAAATAAAAATTAAAACCGTTGAGTGTTTATAACACAAGGAATATATTATACAGGGCTAGATGTTAACTTTTAAATCCACTTGTTTAAATACTTGAGGTATGCTAAACATGACATAGGAATTACACAATGTTTGATTTGTACTTTCTAATGGCTGTACAGCCCAAGTATCTGGCATGCATGCACCTGAGAATAATTTTAATGGCAAATGCTTTACACAGAATACTAATTTTAAAATATAGTTCAGTTTCGATCATATTCATATTCAAATTGGAATTCCATGTGCAATTTGGTGAATTGATGATGAAAACTCAATCAAAAGTGAATTTTAAGGATCCGCTTGGCTATTGGCAAGAAAGTTCTGTTGCAGATATCTTCAAACTATTTCATTATTATATTACATATATTACTTCACACCTTGTATCATTACACTTCACTTCCAACAAACACAATATTGGAAAGAATACATCTTTAAGGTCTCAGACCATCAAATAACCAATGAGCAAAGCGAAAAAATATAAACACAAGTTGTAGGCACGTTCACTTAAATTACATCCTGGGTTAGTTGTTGAATTGTTTGAAGTGAACTTTGATCTGTCAACTGTCACATCTAGTGAACAGAAAGTTTTGAGTTGTTTGTATTTTTTTTCCATACATTTTGAGCTTGGCAACACATCTTTCACCATAAACCCAATGACATTAGCAAATTAGTTAAATTTGAAAATTGCTTATTTTTTAATGTGATTCTATAAAATATTAACATTGGTCACCATAGAAACTAGTCACTGGGTGGAGAACTTCAGCTGCCTGGACTATGTCAGTAGGCGTGCATAATAAGAATTTTATTTTTGTGTTTAAAATAAGTAATATTTTTATGATATAAAAAAAATGTTGGTTTATATGCAGCTTATAATAGAACAAACAGTATTAGCATTTGTTCAAAACATTTGAGTAAACAAGCCATGCATGGCACAGTCCCAGTTAGTTGTCAAATTTAAGATATATAGTATTGTTTATAGTAATATAGCTGGAATATAACCATGTCAGGAATATGATTTTTTTAACATTAAAAAGATTGACATATATATATAACATGATGTATAACTAATATATAAAATTTCAATATAATCAGTCAAAGCATTTATGAAATATGACTCTAGAAGCCCAATCATTAAAACAAAATAGCTGCCAGGCAGCCATTTTGAATCCAATCTGAAAAATAAAATGATGTGCATCAGGAACCTGTAATGTCTAATGTTTGTTATAAGTTTGAACAAAATCCATCCAAAAATGCAAGAAATGCTCGATATTTGAGGAAAAACCAAAATTGTCATCTAAGTGTAAGGCTGTCGCTGATTGACTGCTGAGCTGGAATGCCAATTTTTAGTTTTAAATACCCCAGGAAAGTGTTCTAGGTTCTTCGGGTAATTAGGTGTTCGTATGCAAGGGATTTTTCCACACAAAAACGGCGAATTCGGCCGAATTTTGTTATCGGTTGGCTTAATATAACCCCCATGGACCGTATTTTTTTGAAAGATTGGTATTTTTGTCCTGATTTGTAGGAATCTGAAAAAAAAAAAAACGTTTCACAACTTGTCTCTTATATAGTTTTATGCATCATTCAAGATGGTGACACCCATATAGTAAATATCGTATTTATTTTATTATCACATGTGCATCAGCTGACTGTGTGTCTAATGTATGTACCAAGTTTGAACAAAATCCATCCATAAATGCCAGAAACGCTTGATATTTGATGATTTTTTATCACACAAATGTCCACCATTTAAATAGGATCGTCAAACCAATATATCTGTCTATCTATGACATGATGTATAATGAATATTTAAAATTTAAACATAATCAGTGAAAGCAAGTCAGACATATGGCTCTAGAAGCCCATTCATTAAAACAAAATAGCTGCCAGTCAGCCATTTTTAATCTCATCTGAACAAAATGATTTGCATCAAGGTCCTATAATGTCTAATGTATATACCACGTTTGAACAAAATCCATCTGTAAACAGCCGAGAAATCCTTGATTTTGATGATTTTTCAATACAAAAATGGCTGCCATTCGGCCATCTTGAATCATATCGTGAAACAAATTGACGTGCATATGTAATAATATCATGTATGATGTATGTGTGAAGTTTGATTGTGATTGGTCCAGGCATTTCTAAGATACAGGTCCGGACACACGCACAGACATGCACGCAAGCACGCACGGACACACAAGGGTCAAAACATCGGGGACTAACACTGTCATCAACATTAAATTATTGACGTCACATTTGAGCACTTTACTTTGTTTTATATTGAATGTAGAAATGATATAGCATGCAACGATATTAACAATTCAATCACTGAATGCAAATATTTGCTGCTCAATTTCATTATAAGGTTATAATACGTCAATTGACATAATCGCTGTAGTTTTATTATATATTATTCGCATAAGAGCATACTGAAAATATTTCTTACCTTGCCACCTGCCAACACTTTAAATGAAGCCATCACTTGATCAGCTGTATCTGAGTCAGTCATCTCTCTGGTCATGAAATCAACAAATGCTTGGAAGGTCACGTAGCCTGTATTGTTTGGATCCACTATGCACATAATTCGTGAAAATTCCTGATCACCGATCTTATCTTCACGAATGTTATAACCTAAGCTTACGAGACAAGCACGGAAGTCACGGGGCTCAAGCTGCAGTGTACGTTTCTGCAAAAAAGTACAAGAAACTTTTCTAAGTATTTCAATAATAACAGAAAACACTGGATTCTACCTGGGCTCTATTTCATGTTTTCAAATTATTTATACACCAAAATTGTTTTTGTTCAGACCAAACATAACAACCTTGTCCTTGTCTAGATTAAATAACAAATGGATGGGTGTATACAAACTAGCAATGCACAATCTTTTCCTTGCATGGGAAAGACTGACTAAAATTTTGACCTAAATTGGATAAGAACACTTAAGTCATTATAATAGCATAAAAGATAAACAAATCCCATGAATTGTAGAAAAGTTACAAATAATAATGCTATATAGAATCAAAATTAAAATACTAGCCAGATTTGAAAAAAGCCAATAATCTTTTGATTTATACTCATACATGTAATGAAAATATATCAGTTTACTATGACAGATCTTGGAGAGCATATTACTAACAATTTGAATATCATTTATTCCCTGCACTTGTTTCTAAACCTAACATATGTTTTACTTTAGTTAAATTACACCAAAATTGAACTTGGTTGACATTTCATAGCAATTCCCAAATTTGAAGATGATAAGAAGAAAATTGGTTGGGTTATTTTCACTATAAGAAGTCTATTTTTAAGTGAAATTTAACCACTATCTTGAAATATATATAGAACAAATACCTAAATCAAAGTTGGTCAAGATATCAGAACTTCTGTGTACATATTAAAAATTAATTCAAAATCGAAGATTAGCCTTCCAAACAAGAAGCTTGGCAATTAAGTCTTAATTTATTCCAGAGAACCTCTACCACAAGTTGAATTTTGGCCCTGAATTGCATTTCAATCTATTAAGCCATGAAGTAGGTTCTTTAGGGATTTCAACATATCAACCTATAATTGGGTGCTCTGATTAGTTGAACATATCATACCCTGAATCTTACCTTATCAAAGTGGTTAAAGGAAGCACGGAAGTCAGACAACTGTTCTTCAGTGATACCCTTAGCATCTCTAGTAAGAATCTGGTTCTCTACTTCGTTGATGTTTCTAGAAATTGCAGTCATTAGCTGCTCCCATCCAACACGAATAGTCTATACCAAGAAAACAAAATACACATTATATAAACAGGTTCAGGTATTAATCTACAAGGACAACATTACTTGAAAGATACATAATGAAAGACTAATGTGTCAATATTTTTATCTATGATTATTCATTCATCAAATCTTTTTGTCTTTTGAGCAGTTGTCTCATTTTGCAGCATTATGTTGACACAAGACAATACGAACCCTTACAACAATTAATACATTAGTTAACACTAATTAGTAAGATTACCTCCATAGTGTACTGAGTATGTCTGTTTTCAAAGATATACGCTTCTTGACATGCTTGGTTATATGTTTCTAATTCATCCATATTTGGTTTATACTGTGTTACAGCCTGTTCATATTGTCGTAATTTACGTAATTGATCCTCCAATGTTCCTGTCATCTGAGTTCCAATTGTTGCAATAGCTTCCATTTGTCTTTCGATCCACGGCCCAACAATATTTGCTTTCTGTGCAAACTGGCGCCTTAAACGTTCATTTGCTAAGAATAACGAGAGACATAAAGGTTTCATAATATGTTCTAAAGTTTTATTTAGTTACACATTATTACAATGGCATATCATTTCATGGACATTGGGTTTGCATGTCTATTTCAAATCATTGATGTCATATATGCATGTGAAACAAAAACAGGTGAGCCAGTTGGGGATGGCAGTCTCCAGCCTCAGTCTGCAGTTAAATATGCTCAGTGTTAAAGAGAATTCAGGTGAGCTCAGCTAGGCTAAAGTTATCTACAATGTAGGACAAGACAACATTTGGAGGCACTATTTGACTACTCAAGCTCAAGTCCCAGTCAAAAAGGCCTACTTTATAGAAAGATGAAAATAACAGTAATTCTCAGTTCCTAATAGACCTGAACTTGACACAGGAAGAAAAAACCAATAACAGAATGGTGTCAATAAGAAAACCCACATACAACATGTACTGGTCTAGTCACATTCTACTCTTCTGTTTTTATCTCACCTTGTTGTTTAGCTAATTCATCTTGTAAAGATTTGTCTCTCTGTGGTACTAATTTCTTAACATCAGCCCACTTTGTGGTTATATCCTGTAAATACCAATTAACAATGAAATTCAATTTAAAACGAATTAACAATCTATGACAAATATCTAAGACATCTGACTGTAGCTAAAAAGCAGTTAATATTAAAACCAATCACTTGAGATATAATAAACAGCAAATGCTCATAATGGGCCATTCCAGTTTATATCTGCACCCCCCTCCTGTTGATGAGGTCGGATTTCCAGCACTGTATGATGGGGAAAATACCCCAGAATTCCAACTGTATATGGAGAAACAGAATCTGGAAATCCAGACAAGTATGGAAAAAAAATCCTGGAAATCCAGGCAGTTATGGCTACTAAATGAAATATGGCCTAATTTATCTCGCCACATACCGGTTGATGAGGTTGGATTTCCAACAGTATGACTAAAAAAACTTGGAATTCTGACTGTATATGGTAAAAAAATTGGGCCAGTATGAAATAGTTATTACTGAAATTAGATAAGGATGGTGGCACGAATGAGCTCATCAATACCGTGAATCAGGACTAGTTCGGATTTCCATTGTCAAATATAAAATTTTGAACTTAGTAAATTAGCATATAAGAGTTACTGAGTATATTTGGAAATCCTACTCTGTATGGTGGCACAACAAAACTCATCAACACCATAAGTAGGAACTATAGTTTTGGATTTCCATCACTGTATGGTGAATGGTGATTTGGAAATAAAACTTTGTATGACTTATACATCCATGGAAATTATACCCTGTATGAAGTAATCACACAAGCTCATCAACAGGGGGGGGGGGGTGCAGATATAAACTGGAATGGCCCAATTAGCATAGTCGTTTGACTTTCCCAGTTTTTGGAAATTCTGTGTATATACATTTACCCAATAACCCTAGGAAAATAGAAACATAGCATCAGTTGTTAGATACATCTTGAACAAAATAAAATAACATTCTGAATAATTTTACAACTAGACAACTATAGCAAGCATATATATTGCATCTCAGTATAGTAGCCATCACACTTACCTTTGAAACTAGTGTAGTGTAGGGATTATTGTTGGCATTAGGGACATTGTATTGTGCACCAATACGCTGTACTTCATTGACAAGCTGTACAATAGCGTTGAATTCCTTATCAGCTTCACCCAATGTCATCTTGAACTGTTCGTGAGAATCCAACAATCCCTACAGTACAAGAGAAACCATTTTTACATCACAATTGTCATATTATACATAAATTCGGATCATTACATTAAGTAAAATCACAGTACAGTTTCACTTGACCGCCAAATGTCATTGATGCCACTAATATACCAACTTCATATTACTTTATAGAGTTTAGGATACGTAGTGCATACAATAGAAGTTACATGGGAATGATGAGCTTTACTTCAAAGCACCAATCTTCATTTTAACAAAACTCAATATTTAGATAGTGTTTGGGTACATACCATAATCTCTTCCACTGTATGCACAATAAACATATCTTGAAGATCTTCTCTTGCACCATCCATCCAGTTATTGAATGGTGCTGCTCTCTTTGCAAACTCCAGATGCAGGTGATCAATTCTGTCCAATATAGCTTCTGCTTCCTAAAAAAGTAATTTATATTTGTTATTATTATTATAGGAAAACTCAACAATATCACCGAGTCTTGAGTATTCCCCTAATGCACAGAAGCACAGTTACTAGAAGACCGGTTAGGAAACTCTCTACATTCAACATTTAAAACAAAGGGAATTAGCATACTGCCGAGGTTGTGGAGATTGTAGTTTGCATACAATTACATATTCGTTCAAAGACGATTCTATCAATTAGGGTTTTCTCTAATGTTATTTTTACAGTATTGTCAGGAGTTGGTATGAATATGAACAAGTAGCCTGTCGGCTGAGATAGCTCCGCTGTTAGCAATGCACATGGCAATTAAAGAACAGAAGATATCATTAGAAAATGAACAAATCTGAGAGAGGTCCACATGTAGTACCTATATGTATAATATATCAAAGCAATTGGACTTGCGGTTTTCAACAAGAAGTCGAAAATATCACTTTTTACCAAAAATGACAAAAATATTCACTAAAATTAGAGAATTGAAGATATCATCATGAAATGAACAAGTCTGAGAGAGGTCCACATGTAGTTCCTATATATGTAATATCAAAGCAATTGGACTTGAGGTTTTTAACAAGAAGTCGAAAATATCACTTTTTACCAAAAATGACAAAAATATTCACTAAAATTAGAGAATTGAAGATATCATCATGAAATGAACAAGTCTGAGAGAGGTCTACCCAAGGTACATATACACCAAGTATCAAAGCATTCAGGCTTGTAGTTTTCAAGAAGAAGTCGAAAAAGTAAAACATTGACACAGACGACGACGGACAATCACTCATATGATAAGCTCCGCTCGACAAAGTCAACAGCGGAGCTAAAAAATATATTAAATATACAGATATATTAAAACTGTACTATGAAACCATACAACTTCCTGTATCACTGACACTGCCAATGACAGCGATCAGGGAAAAACTGGCTATTTTGGAGAAAAATGTCTGCAAACTTCTAGAAAAAAGAAACATTGTTTAAATTATCATAGTTCTCTAATATAAAACTCAGATTGAATGTACAAAAAAAACTTTCCGAGATACATTTTTGGGGTAAAAAATGTCGTCACAATATTGGACATCAGCAGACGCAGACTTACAATCGCCTTACTGAAACGATGAAAATTGTCTACAACAACTTAGTATCTAACTTAAAATTACAACAATGTAAACTATAAATACTAATTTAACAATGTGTTGTACTGAAACATAGTTCCTTCTGATTTTTCAACAATTTCTCCAACTCTTATGACAAACGTAGACAAAATGGCTGACGTCACTAACAAAAAAAGTTACGATTTAAATTAGTTATGATAATCACAGTTCCACATTAAAATACCAAAACATTAATATAGTAACGAATACTAACATTTCAGAACATTCGCAGATAATAAAATGTTGGGTTTCAAATGCCATGGTTAATTTTGATTCACAGACGGCAAATTTGTCAACGAACTATCAAAATTTTTCTCGACAACAGCGAAACCTCGAGTATCAGAAAACTTTCGCACACTAGTCAGTGATGCTTGTACGTTGATCTTTCGGCTTATTGATTTCTATTTCTTCAATTCAGTGGACACGCACCGAAAACAAATGGAGATAGCAATATAAGCGATGACGTCACAGTGGTTTGACACACATTAAACTAAAGTTAATGGATAATTAGTATATCTAATAATAGAGTTTCCTAACCATTCTTCTAGTAACCGTGACAGAAAGAACTAATCCAATAAAGGTCTATGAAAGGTACACATATATCAAGTACCAAAGCAATTGGAGGAGCGGTTATTGCAAAGATTTTGAGTTCACACAAATTAAAGGATAATCCATAAAAGTTGCTAATACACATGTTTACATAGTATTTCTCATTGTGTTTATGCACAAACAAGAACTATTGGTTCCACCACACCATCAAACACCGATAATCAATAACCATAAATTCAAGCAATCTGAACACAAAATGGCATACAATGCATATCCTATTATTGAAGATTGTCTGTTCCTAGCGACATGTAAAGGCATACAGTTGTACGTACATGTACATTGTACTCACGGAAAGACATCATGAAGCAATAGAGAATGCAGAGAAAGAAATACAGATGACAAAAGAATTGAAGCAAATGAACTGAGAACTTACATCCAAGGCACTTCTCCTTTTCTGTGTCAGTGTACCCAAGACGTCCCACTGGTCACAAATTTTCTGACAACGTGTATTTACGGAACCAATATCATGATAATCTAAGTCACTACAAAACAAGTACATCATGTGGTTAATAACTATGAGTACATCTTCATAAAAACTTGGAGGTTGGCAGAAGAATGCCATGGTATTAATACGCATTCTATGCTGTATCTCAGCAGTTTGTTTTAACATTTAATTTTTTCTTCAAGTTTTTTCAAGTCAACATTTTAATCAATATCACAAAACGTGGACTGATCATAAAGGACCATAGTCAGACATATGAGAATATTTGGCTACAAGCTACAAGTACTGGCATACTAAACATCAAGACTTACTTGAGTTCCTGGGCAATGGCAGCAATCTGTTCTACACGGTCTTGATGAGCCGCCAAATCGCTCTCAAACGCTTCATGTTTCCTCTTCATGGCCTGCAGTGAAAAACATAAGTAATTTATGTATTGACAAATGAGGGCGCCCTCCATAGGCCAGTAATGAAATTATGCAGGTTTATTTTGAGAAAAGAGACAAAAGACGACTGTCAACTTGGTTTGGTTCATACAAAATTACAAATTAATGATTTAATTGGATAAGTATAATATACATATACAGGCAATAAGTGTAAATGGAAACATACCTTAAGTTCATGCAGTTTACAGCCTTTGAAATCATTTGCTTGTAACATTTGTTCCTTACCACCAGACCACTCTTCATGAATATTACATTTATGTCGGAATTTCTGAGCCAAGTGATCCAAGCGTTCAAGTCTGCAGGCAATAGCAACGAGACAATTATTGGTATATTAGCATACATGATTAGAAAACTAATTTCAGTTTTGTTTAGAATAACCCAAAGAAATTACATGTGTTCAATGCATTGCATGGAACCCATAACCAAAATAATGTGTTCAATATGAATTTGCTTTAGTATAAAACAGTGAATAGAAATATTTTTACCTTCTCATTTCTGCCAGCAGCCACTCTTCAAATCCCTTCTCAACTAATTCCAGTCCCTTCCATGCTTTAGCGATATCCTACAAATATAAAAACTACTATTATACTAACATTTCCTATACAATGTTTGTAAATTACAAAAACATTAACTTTAAGTTTTCTAAACCCAAAGTTGACTTTGAGGAAAGTAGAAAAATATTGACATCATAAGACAACTGTGACTTACCGAAACCATTTTACCATCTGTGGGAAGATATGCAGGTCTGTTGCTGAGACGTAGTTTAGTTTGTAGTGTATTGAAATTGGTCTCCAGCTTTCCTTTCTCTTCAACTCTTGGGGGTTTATGATGGCGGCGGTAGTCACGGAATTCCTGTAGTTTATCCTGAATCCCGGGCAGTGTATTGTCTGTAGTTCTGTCTTCTAGCCAGGGGGTGGTACGACGAATCCACTCCAAAAGCTATAATTTCAATAAATAGATATTTAGTACCGAATGAGTGATACACAGGGTACAGAAAATGCTAAATATATGTGATACCAATTTGGAGTACTCTTATACAAGTCACAAAGTGAATGACATAATTCTGATACCACTGTGTTTTCAATCAATTAGGGAGTACTTGGGCATTCAGCTTATTTTTTTATACTACATTATATTACATTTAAAAACAAATTTGATTAAATCAGTCAATGAATAACAAGGAATAAGGAAGTTATCAGAACCCAAATTAATAGTTTCCATTTCGATAGTACTTTCTAAAAAATGCTACTACCAGTGTCGTAAAAACAAAACAAAAAAGTGATACTTACATCACTGGCCAATCTCTCATATTCTTCCATGAGACGTTCGTTATCTTGATTGACTCTCAGCACCTTGCAGATACGACCTGCAGCGGTTTCAGCCTAAAGCAAACAACATCAACACCAAAATTACTTTCCTGATACCTTTTAATATAAACATCAATAAACTAATCACCAAATACACATCCATTAATGATAAAAATAAAGAAATGTTATATTAAGCAATAGTTATTGACCTAATGAATCGGAGTACACACATTACATGGTGCAGAACCAAATCAAGATACAGCATATCCAATGTATCACGTAGTGGCCACAAAATACTTTTATTACAGTATCATCTGCCTTGACTTTCATGTGCTTAATAAAGGCAAAATCATATTGAATTTGAATTACACTTCGGCAAAAACCAGCAGCTTTTAAAAAATCTGTGGAAGTCATAACAATGATGCTTACAACACATTTACAAGTTGTGATGATTAGCCTGAAATGTCTACATGTTTGTTGCTATAGTAGTGGCAGTTTGTGTGAGAGTAGTGTTTCACAGGTATTACAACACATGATGTGTTTCATATTTGTTGTACAGATATCAAGTGATAACTTCATAGTGGACATTCATTCATAGAAAAAAGACACTCCTGTTAAGGTAAAGACGCAGGTTCATGGGCATTTGGGAGTGAATTTTTTTTTTTTTTGCTTTTTATTATCCAAACAGTCTTGGCTATTAAAATTTTGTAGAATTGTGAATAGAACATACTCAAAAAACTATTTTAAAATATAGATAACAGGTGCAAACATTCTCTCTTTTGAATATGCTTAGCAAGATTTACCAAGGCTGTACATAAATAATAAAAAAGAAACGTGGTGAAAAAAGTAATGACGGGATCACCATATTATGCACTATATTTAACTTTTTACCAAACTATAATACATTTAAATTTGGAACTGTTACAGCCATTTTAATTGTGAGCAAGAGCAAACTTCTTACTGAGTGAATTGTTATGCAAATTAGCAATTATCTCAGCTTCTTTTTTGTGCACATCCCAGAAATTAAAAAAAATAGCTCCTAGACGCTTGATTGACAATGTGTTTATCTTCAAAACGCCGTTGGGGCATTGTTTTTGGTTGAACAGTGTTACAACAATCGTACATCCAACTAGCCTGGGTGTTAGTTATGCATAAACTTGAAGTAGTGAAATTTGAGATGCTGCCCTGCAAAATTGACAACAGGTAGACAGTTTTCAAGACGGCACTTTCTTCATAGTAAACAGATGTACTCATAAACCAATTTTGACAAAAACAGAAGCATGGTTTAGAAGCTATATTTTTTTAAATCTCTTTTGACCAAAAAAGCACATTTTTGTGCATATTTCAAACTACAGTGTCCATAAAAAAAAATACTAAGAAAATTTTAAAGTTCATACAATAAGCTTTCCGAAAATATATAGTATTGTGGACAAGGGAGGCATCTTGGTTTCTTAATTAACTAATTAAAATACCTGTCACGTAAACTGCATCTCTACCTTAAATACATAAACTTGGAAACATTACATTATACACAAAAACACACATCATATACTCTTTACCTTTTGGGCACCAGCAAACGCATGGTAATAAGATGAAACGTATGTCATAATGGATTTCTCATCAGGTTTTGGAGTGTTAATAATTTCTGGGAAAAAAAACAATACAATTATGAGCTAAGTAAAGTTTGATCCTTGAGGACGGTATTTAATTTGTATTATTCTTGATTTCTACTGATCTATTTCCATATTGTAGGCATTTATTTAAACACGATTTATTAATGATATGTGATTTATGTATTTTCAATAATTTAACTTATTAATTATGAAATTAGCCGGAAAGAGTGCAAAATGTGTAACAATGGAAGTCATTTGCATATTTCCCACAATGATCTCCCCCTTTACCTCTCTGACCCTTGATTATGCACAATTTTGATACATTTTTCATTTTAAAATGGCTGCCATTCGACCATCTTCAAAAGAATCATGAAACAAATATGCATATTTCTGATCAAGTGCGAGATACAGCTTGATACAGAGAGAATGGGAACTAACTAATACTAGTAATATTTATTCTTTTCATAGTTTATTTGTCAGTACAGTTCACAAAATAGCACTCAAAGACATCCTTCAAAACAAATTAAGCATATTGTTTGTAAAGCAATAGTCAATAAACCATTATACAATTATAATAATAAAGTCCTGGTCAGTTTGGGTTTAACAGTGAATCACACTTAGACAAAGATAGAGCATTGAATGTATATTGTGTGCCATGTGACTGGTACATTTTACACAGCGGAGTCTTAGGTGCAGGTACCTACCTTCTGGGTCCAACATCCTTGGAATATCCAGATATTTTTCAGCCACATCAAAGGCAGTGTTCAAGTTGGTCAGAGGATCATCCTAGTATGTACAATATATTTAGAAACTGACAACATTATAACACCCCCCCCCCAATTAATCTCTCGATTCGATTCAACTCCCTCCGTTCAACCATTCATATGTAGAAAACATTACTCATCTTCTGATCTCCCTTCTTTGAAACCAACTCCATGATGAGACAGAGGGATTACATGATGCATGGTAATCAAATAAAATGAAAAACTCGTATACACAGTTTTAATAAGTGCAGTGCAGGTGTATGCTAATGTGTAATTACCTCAAAAGGAACAACTTGGTCATGTTCATAGCATGCACAAGAGCAGAAAGTGGGACAGGAAAATAGTGGGTAGACATAAAGTTATACACATGACATTAGTTTATCAGACATTCAGAGGTGCACATAAGATACTATCAGTGTCTTCCAAATCAAATCAAAGTACATATAACACTCATTATAACACTGTGATATTGCTATATATCTGCTTGATAACACACACTGTGCATGAGAAGTTTAGTATACGTGGGTGTGGTTTCTTATCATAGAATCTCAACTCATCTCGAAGATACAAAGAAGAAAGATTAAGAAACATATCATGCTGCGTAGGTTCTCCATACTTTATATTACCACCTAAGGTACAACATGCATACCATGCTGTACTGAAAACCCTAAAGAACGAATGCTAGGCTTTCCTTATCCATTATGCAGTAAAGCAGACTAAACGCGCAATACAACTGGGATCATGGTTATTCACATAAATAACAAATAAGTCATGTGATGTAAAATTGAAAGTTGTGAGTCAACTCATAAAATGGTTCAATTAATTGTTATAGATGGTGAATATGCAAGAAACAAAAAAAAAAATTGTGTTAAAACTTATATCAATACTCAAATGAAAAATAAATATTTGGTACCACATATTGAAAAGACAGAACACAGTGGCACATTTGGCACACCAGAATCAGATTCACTTTGCACATCCCATAATATGACTAGCAATACATGAGTTGAGATGTAAAGTTAACAAAGTGATATGTGATTCTAGAGTGTTCAATGTTAAGATGATAGTTAAGTGGATGGTCTCCAGTTGTTGCCTTGTCCATTTCACTGCATAATGATTAGAAAACCCAACATACCTTCTTTAGTGAATGGTAGTCTATCAGATCAGGACGATGTCTATGGATCAGGGCACAAAATGCCAAACCATCTTTGAAACTGAGGAGAAAAAAGAGAAGGAGAATACATTAGAATTTGCAAATTAATAACGATTGACAAGTTTAATTGTACTATGATCAAACTAAGTCCTATTTTAGTAGTTTACAAAAAATGCTGTTTTAAGTTCATGTAGGCCCCTATTGGAGATGTGCTGCTACTAGAGCAAATACGGTATGTGCATATAACAGCAAAGTCAATAACAAGCACACTAAATAATACCATACTCGTATGACGTACCAGGGCATTGAACATCAGTTATACTTTTCTGAATAATTGCAGTGTCCATTGTGATTAACATGAATGTGATATGAACAGGGAAACCACAATTCAACGTGACATGTTAAGTGTTCAGAGGTACCGGTATTAGATACTTCTTCTACATTCAGTTTACCTTTTTAAAATTATCACCGGGTTTTGAAGAAAAAAAAACTCTTTTTGATAGAAATTGCTGCCATAAAAAAAGCATGTTTTTAAGCTGAGAATCCTGACTGCTACCAGTCAGATGAGTATGGTAATACAAATATTCATTCCCATGATACACTTATATTAATAGAAAATAGAAGCCATCACTTTCATTGGATGACATGCACTGTGATCCTAAAAGGTTCCCAACAAATTTTTACTGTTGCATGCATCAGTATAAAATGGGCCACTCACACAATTTTTTTTCAGCACATTTTGTAGAAAAAACGAAAGAAAGAGGCCACTTGACGTACAATTCATGCCTAGAATGCATGTACTGAATATTCTTATTGGAATGTACAGGTTCACTATCAAAATGCTGATTTTTTTTACAAATAATGCATGGTTTAAATTGATAAAACAGTGTATTCAGATGGCAACAATGATGATGAAGAAGACGAAAAAATGTTTGTTTTTACCAACTAACCAGAAACATGGCCTAAGTTGGACAACCAAATTTCTATTTTCCTCTAATGATTCTACTGCATTCAGCTACATATACATGTATCTATCTTGACGTTTTTTTGTTTTGTTTTTATCTTATTGGCAATAAATAAAATTGTCAATCAAACCTTTGAATCTTTGCTACACAATTTCAGATTAAAGTCATACTACAGCTGACTAGACTAACATAATTTTATTACTCAAAACGTGTAATTAGAATTTGTCCAATGCATCACCTTCTCTTCATTCTATGAACAAATTATTAGGTGGTCTTCAGATGAGGGGACGAGTGTATAATTTGTAATAATATTACTACTTGCACTGTAAAACCATTTATTTTCACTGGCATTTAATTTCACTATTTTAATGCTTTGAAAAATGTTACAGTAGTTCTATTGTTTCTTTACATCTTTATGTGTTTTTATTTAGCAGATTTTATGGATCAGCAAAATCTGTGAAATTAAAACCCAGTGATTAATTAACGTGTCTGCAGTGAGTATGTCGTCTGCAGAGGCCGACATGGTCAAACTTATCTCATGCTTGATTAGACAATTACTACAATCCACTGAAATGGTTCACAACCATTATAAGCAAACCAAACTATGTAACACACTATGTCACACGTCACTTTGTCTGAAGAGTATTCACATCTTAATTCGTCTTACCTGATATGGAAGTTTTGAACATTGACATTTTTGTAAGGAGCCGTCTTTCTTTGACACCACAGCAATAAACCCTCTTTTGCTGACAATTCTGACATAAAATTAAAACAATACAGTAAATGACACAATTGCAAATAAGTCATATAAATGCATCATTGGATATTTAATTCCATCAATTTCATCTTCAATACAACTTTGGTTAACAATAAAGTTAAACTCTTACCGTACTAGTAAATTATTAAATTACCTCAAAACAAAAAAGAATGTTAAAAATTGAATAGCATTGAACTATTTTTTAGTTAACGCCCTGTGGCTTTCAAAAATGCAACTGTTTAACAGAAAAGAAAACATTTTAATATAACAGTATTTATGTCATACATATTACATTTCATGCACTATTTTTACCATCAACCATTCCAATGAAATACCAACCACATTCCTGACATACCCAAATGCTCCCATTTTACCAGCATGCAACACTTCATTCATTAAACCCCTTTCTTTGCAATGAATACCGCACAGTAATACAATTCAATGAAAAAAGGTAAAAAAACTCAGTAATAAGATAATACAGTGCTTCAATGGAAGTGGTTCGAGCTCATACAATATATTCCCATACGAGTTACAAGACATATCCAGGAAGGCAAACGATGGATGTAAAATTAGAACACAATTTATACCACACATGCTATGTGAGATTTGCTCAGCCTTAGTTTGAAAATTAATTTATTTTATTAGTTTTGTATTAAAAACTAACAAGTATCAATATCCAAAAATCACAAATTAGTAATTTTTTGCTACGTGATCCAGTTTCATGTAACATTAGTAAACCAAAGTTCAAAGGTAAAGGTCAACGTAAATAAATGAACAGAGTCATTGCAACAATTGAATGTTAGTAATGTAAAGATTGGACAGAGAGAGATATTGTACTAAGCATGCATGTCAGAATCACTGATTTTCACAAATTTTCAATTTTTACTAGATCTAGAACTTTAATTGAATTTCAGTTTTGCATTTCTTATGCCTTGGATTTCAACATGATTAGAGATCTTTGCACAAGTCGAGCATCTGGACAGTGTTGGCACAAGCTAAAATGTGTGTGTGAAGTTGTGACTGATTTGGCTTGATGTTGACCGCAATAGAAAGTCAGGATCAAGCTCAGCACATGCCAAAATTTCGTTGACTGAAAATTCAATACAAACCAAAAATTGCGCCCTCAGCAATGAACTGAAGAGAATATAATATTAATTCTTAAATTGTCATTATATGACAGCTATTTGTTGTTGAAAACTACCCACTAAGCATATTACCACACTAGGAATCACCACAGCGGTTTGAAAAACATCAGACATATATGCAAGCAAATAACACCGAATAAACGGCAAGGTAAAGACTATGTCTAATTATAGTAAATACGTACTGCGTGCGTGACTCGAACCGGCGCTCGCGTACGGCACCTAATCGCCTAGCTTCACGCCACTACACGTCTTCCCCTCGGCCACCGGGCATCCCCAAAAAAGGATGCTTAATAACCGAGCTTATTACGTGCAGAGAACGTGAAACCCGTCCACGCGATACGCAGAACATGCAGAACATGCTTATCATCTGCCATGTTTGGGTAATCAGAAGTAAGGGTGTGATTTTGGCACAAGCCCAGTGCATGGGTCCTGAAATGGGGTCTTATTAACATGCCATAATTGCTTTGCAAAAATGTAGAATTGCACGTGCTGAGATCTTGCAATGTGAACATAGCTAGAGTCAAAATTTTCGGTTTATGTTTACATGTGCTTATATCAGATCAAGTACCTTCTCTACCAAATGTCACAATCAATTTATCAGTTCAATAAATATGTTATATTACATAACATTTTCTTAAGCCTGAGGTGTCAGTAGACTGTCTTTCAATTGGTAGACAGACAGAATTACAGTGTTTCTATGTGTAAAGAAATACTGATTGTGTGTGGTTATTACAGTGGAGTCTGGCAACCATCAAACACACTGTGAAGATAACAATAGTCGTAGAATTGATAAATTCCTTACACCTAAACCAACAAAGGTTTTCATGCAGTGTGTAGTGAAAACTGTAAGCCAATTATAAACACACCAACCACTTACCTTCAACAGATATGTCCTGGATTGCAAATCTCAGAATGATAGTCCAGATCATACCCAATGTCATCTTCAGATTACCATCCACAATTTCTACAGATTAAAATCATATTTATTAAAATACAAATGAGTTATTAATAGTTACATTGTTTCTTGACCAGATTTCATATGCATATTATTATAATGATATGTACAACAAAACGTGTACCAGTAGCTGTTTTTGTTTATGGAGTGATCAATGTCAGATTATTAGCCATGTGCTCAGAACATGATTATACCAGACTGATAAATGACAAGTACCATGTAATTCACACCAATTACAGGTTATAACTTACTTATCAGTATTTATAAGAGTTAGTTGAAATAACTCCCAAGAGGCAGTCAGATATGGTGACTGCTATCACCAGATAGTTCTAGACTGTTATATGCAAATTACACTACCCTAGCATGCTATAAATCCTATAAGTTACATGGTACACTGCAGTTTTAAAAACTAAATATACCGTAATAGAGGGCGTTTAGAAGCAATTTCAAGTGTTAATTAATTAATGCATAATGGGAGCGAAATTTCCAATGAATATAACACAAAAAATATTATTAATCTTGCTAACTGATCAAACTTTCATCATTGTTATACTACAATCAGCCATGTCTTTCAACAAAGTTAGACGAATACAATACAAACTAAATTTTGTATTAGAATTCAGAGCATATTCTTATGTAACTCATTGGTATGGACTCCTATTGAAAACCAGTTGCTAACTTGTACACAGATTATAGAGGTAGTTACTCCAGACACGTACATTACATGCCTTGCAATACATCAATTGTTCTCCACGTATACATAGGTCAATCATAGTTACTTGGATCCCAAACAATTCCCTCTGTTCTCTTTTCAAACTCCTGCCACAATTTCTAATAAATCAATTGTATTGTTCTTCATGTGAATGCATGGCCAATAAAGTTCTTTCTCAGTTTTATTACTAGGAAGTATGTGGGGAAAATTTTTTTTTGTTAGAAGTAATGGTAAAATTATATATTGATCAATCAGAATTTCTTGCATGAATTATATTAATTCATCACAAATTAGGAACTTTTGATTATCATATTTGACTAGAATGCTGTTCAGTACCTGCAATTCCAAATAATAGCAGTGGCATTTTTTTTAAACGCAAAGTGGAAGTGAATTACTGATGTTGAAGTGTAATCTGTTGACAATAGTTTGGGGAGGGAAAAAAAACAGCAAAATGGGATTTGATGATCATTTGAATCATGTTATGATTGGCAATAAAGCATATAAATACAGGTTGTTAAATCAACCATCCTGTAAAAAGATATTCCAGTAAATTTTTTACATGACACATTGAATATTTTTTTTTTTTAGGAACAGTTAAACATCAAAAAAAATCTGTGAAGGTTTCATAACTAGTAAGATAGATTTTGACATTTTCGAAAGGATAGGTACTTTGCTGAACATCAATATATAAATTGTGTAAAAGTAGGGGTTTACCGGACATATGTGAATACAGTAAAAGCCGGTTTTACAATAGCCTAGGGTAGGAATTAAGTAATTCCATTATATGAAACAAATTACAAATGGTGTTGGTTACTACAATGTTAGGAACAGATGGTAGACCGCACAGGCTGGAGGCCCAACTGTGAATGCTCGAACAGCTGGGTTCCCTCAAAGGCAGACTGAAGGCCTGACCACAAGTGATAGAGCAGCTGGGTTTCAGAGATTGAGGGCAGAAAATATTATATATATTCCAGTTACGATGTACAAGACTCAAAAGTTTTCTACAAAAAAACCAATTATTGTTGGAAATGACTAGAATAGTATTGGTGGATTGGCAGCAGGTGAGACAACTCCAACTGTCACATACCATGATACTTTATTTCTGTTATTTGGGATATCATCTGAAATCGATGCATTATAGAAAGCCATGATGTAAACACGTCATGAATGTTGGGTTCCATATAATAGTGTTATGTGCTATTTAATCATAAAATATTAAATTCTTATGTATGCTGTTGTTTAGCCATTTATTATCACTATTTAGATATGCTAGTCAAATGTAATTTTTTATTTTTAAAATCATCGACATCACCTTAAGTCACACTGATAACATATACAATGGCTATGAACAGTGGTTTTCAATCCAAGTATTCTACTTGCTGGGTATATCACACCCATTCACATCAAATGAATGTTGTCAGCGATGATCGATATACAAGACTAATGTTCTGACATGAACAAACTTGCATATTTACATGTAAGAGTGACTCACATTACATCATATAATAATATTCAAATTGCAATAATGACTGATCTTAGTAGAGGTATTTTTAACAAAACATGAATGTCATAGTTCCCATGTTTGAAACAGTACAAAGATAATTTATACTGAGTAAAGAATATCTTCTTTATATACAGCCATCTTGTGTAACATTTAAAGTTAGTCCGCAAAGAAACAAATATATTTTTGAGTATTTTAATGAGCAGAAATCAACATGAGAGCACATGTAGTACTAGAGTGAGAATATTAAATTGCCATTATGATAGGTAGATGGTTACACTAGTCCATAAGACTCGCCAACAAAAAGTAAAGGGGTACTAATCATGGAAAGCTCTTGGTGTACTATTTTGAAAAATGTTTGCTTATTCAATATTTGGATGGATTAAAGTTTAATTATTATAAGTTCCAATTTTATTGGTTAAATCCACTTATATATTTCAATTTATGAGCATAATTATTCTACTAGAGACCTTAAACATTTTAGAATAAATAATTAAAAATAAGGCATGCATGGCACAGTCCCAGTTAGTTATTGAATTTAAGATATATAGTTTATAGTAATGTAGCTGGATTATGATGATTAGCATTAAAATGATTGACATTTGTATCTGATTGTCAAACGAGTACTTGTTCATATTGAGAGATATTGCTCTGGAACAGCATTAATTAAAACAAAACCAGCCATTTTAAATACATGTATATATCTATAACATGATGTATAATGAATATTAAAAATTCATTAAAACAAAATGGCCGCCAGTCAGCCATTTTGAATCCGATCTAAGAAATAAATGATGTGCATCAGGAACCTGTAATGTCTAATGTATGTACAAATTTTGAATGAAATCCATAAATGCCACAAATGCTCAATATTTGAAGATTTTTTTTAGCACAAAAATGCCCACCATTCGACCATTAGTCCAACAAAATAAGTGGAAATTATGGTTCCTATAACTACTATAAAATAAAACAAGTTTTTCTTTGCCAGATTTCAATTTTACAAGTCTATTGCCTTTTTATGTAGGAAGTGTCTACCATATTAATAATCTGATATTCATAGGCATGATATTTTGAAGAATTGTCAAACGTATATACACCTAGAGTTCTATTGATATGTTATATTACTTCTTAGAAATATGGGGAAGATTTGAAATCAATTTCTGTGATATTAATGGCAACGTGTAACACACAGAGAACACAATGTTGGGAAATAAGTGAATGGAATGCATAAGTTTATTGACCGAAGTAATTGTGCTCATCATTTCTCCGAGTCAAAATATATTTCAAAGATCTAATCTTAACTTTAAGCCATTTTGGATTTAAGTTGATTAAAATTTTTGAAATTGTAATGGAAATCGATCATATAGACAGATCTATCCTTAAAATAAGTCAAAATATAGCCATTTTGAACCCAATCCAAAAAATATCAAAGAAAGCTTAGAAAGAACTCCCGTGTGCTGAGAGTTTTGGAGACACATTAAAAATTAATTCAAAATTACTTATACTTGAGATATTGATGGAATAGCTGAAAACTAATTATGCAAATAAGGTAACTAATATGAACAGATTTAAGTGTAAAACTAATAAGGTCTGCACAATGTACCAAGTTTCATTGAAATGTGATTAGAACCAAAAAAATATTAATTATTATGCTAATTAGAGAATTAATATGAACAGATTTTAACCCAAAATTAATCAGACTGTTTATTGTCCTAGAGCATTTATGTACCAAGTTTTATTCAAATGTGATGATCAATACTTGAGATATCAGTATTAATTAATTATGTTAATTAGGTGATTAAGAAGCATAAATATTTACCAAAAACTAATATGGTGCATAGTCTTAGGTTCATTGAAATGTGACAGGTACTCTTTAAAAGTTTCATTGAAATCCAATGAGTGGT